AAGGAATGCCTTACAAAAGGCAGCCTGGGACGATGGCTAAGAATAGGGACTCTCAGTTTCAATGGTAGAACCACTATAGACTACGTGTGTGAGGCTGGGAAGGTCCCTTAACCTCTTGTGCCTCAGTTTCCTGGTCTAAAATATAGGATAATAATAGCACAGAATTTACAGGAACATTGTGAGACTTAAATAAGATACTATAACTAGTGCCTAAGTACAAAGCATGTGCTTAACACACCGTTAAGAAAAATCCACACAAATGGCTGTCTCATAGGTAACTTTACAAATCTAAGTTTCTCAGGTTCTAGACTCAGGGAATAATAAAATCTTAGCATACTCACGTGACTGGGGAAAAAAGCCTTAAGGTAGTACTGGAATCATATACTAATTAGCAAAGTAGAGTCTGATTCACAGCATTCTGAACTATGAAACAAGATAATACTCACATCTTAAGGTCTTAAAGGTCAGCCCACAACTGGCTGTCTAGCCTTTGCTCCCATACCCCCATGAGTGTGGGTGTCCTACCTCTGAAGTCTGGCTCCTGGGAAGTTTTTTTTTTTTTTTTTTTTTTTTTTAATATTTTATGTATTTATTTGAGAGAGAAAGCGAGTGAGAGGGAGAGAGTACGAGTGGTGGGGAGAGGGAGAAGCGGACGCCCCACTGAGCAGGGAGCCCAATGCCGGACTCGATCCCAGGACCCTCGGATCATGACCTGAGCCGAGGTCAACTCTTAACCAACCGAGGCTCCCCGGTGCCCAGGGAAGTTCATGCTGAATGCAGGTCTGACCCCAGTTGGTCCTAGTTCTCTCTGGGCCCCCAGAGTGTATCTGCTCCCTCATCCCATGAGAGCCCAGAGAACTTGGGCAAGGTGGGGACATCCAGGTCTACCCAGAGCCTGCTCTTCTCCGTGCTGCTTTCTCCCAGACCCAGGCTTTCCATCATGGCATGGATACGCTGCCTTGGTCTGAGCAACGAATGTCCCAGAGGGAACCCCTGGTGCCTCTGACCACGGTAGGGTCCAGTGGGACTTCTGTCACCCTTGAGTATTGGTTGAAGACCACGCTTGCCTGAGGCTCATCTCCTGGAGCCCGTTTCCATGAATGATTATAGCAGTGAGCACAGGTGTGTGCGTGTGTGCCCTTCTGTGTGCAGATGTGCAGAGGTCGGGAAGGGAGACCTGCCCAGCCCTGTCCATCACTGCATCACTGAAGTGACCGCTAGGACTGGAAAGTCCCTGACTCATGTGACTTCCACCTGCAGAACAGCCCCAATTCCCATGACTGTGTCAGTTTTCCCACTCTCATTTCTTTTTAGGGGAAGCAGTCCGCTGGCGGAGGGCTCACCCGTGAGCTTTTGATGCTAGTGTGACTGAGCTGAAGGTATTTCTCCAGAACACACCCACCTGCATCTTGGTGGGGGTTGGGAACGATGCACAGGACATTATGGGTGTGCTGTGGACCATGGTGCCTGGCCAAGGGGCAAGCCGGGGCCAAGATCCAGCTCGTCCTCCGCTCACAAGACAGGCACCCTGGCGTGCAGCTGCGTCTCGCTAGAAGAAGCAGCATTTTCTTCTAAGGCACACACAGGCGTCATAAGGCCTAGCAGCAGGCAAGGGGGCGGTGGCGTAGGAGAAGAAATCATAAAAAATATAGGCCCTGGAAAATAGGAACTGGGAAGGGAGACAAGTTTCTTTCACCGTGAGAGGCACAGGACTGACTCAAAATTGACCCCTCTCCTCGGGGAGCTCCGCTGAATTCAGGAACCATCCCAACGGACAGTGATACACCACCGCAGGAGCCCGGAGGAGGATGGGATGGGGCCTCCAGGTCCGGGTGCTGGAGGATCAGGGCACGGCAGATAGGAGAGACCAGGAGGGGAGGCCTCAGCAATGTGTAGTGTTGGGGAATGGGGAATGCGATATTGTGATCTGTAGGAAGTCTGTATGGGGTCCTTCAGATGGCCAAAAGATATTCCTCTTGCAATTTTGGTCTTCATCCACAGCTCTCAAAACCCTTGGAATTTCCTGGACGATAAGAGCTTGGGGAGCATCTTTTATCATAACATTTGGTCTTCTGTCCTTAGTTTCTGAAATCCATTCAGAGCCATCAGAGTGAATGGGTGTCTTGTTATTCATAACAAGCCCCTTCTTACCACACCCCGCTTCATGTTAAGGAGCTGACTTTTGGACTGCACTAAGGGGTGGGGGGCTGCTTGCCCGGGGAACCAACAGAGAAGAGAGGGTTGGACCTTTCAGTCCCACCCCTAGATTTCCAGGGGGAGGAGAGGGGGTGGGGATTGAATCAACTGCCAACAGCGAATCATTAATTAATCCTTCCTATGAAATGATCTCCATAAAAAAAAACCCCAAAAATGTAGGTTCCTGAGAGTTTCTAGGCTGGGGAAGCAGAGCTCTTCCGCATGCCACCGGGCTGTGCCCCAAAGTCTGTGAGGACAGGAGCTCCTCTGTTCTAGACCTCGCCCTACATACACCATCATCTGGCTGTTGGTTCGTATCCTTTAATATCCTTTGTAATAAACCAGTAATCTGGTGAGTAAATGGGCTTCCTGAATTTTGTGAGCCGCTCTAGCGCATCAGTTCAACCCAAGGACGGAGTGCTGGGAGCCTCTGATCATTGGCGGGTCAGTCAGAAGGACAGAAACAATCTAAACATGGGAACGGCCTCTGAAATGGAGGTGGTCTTGTGGGATTGAGCCCTTAAACTGTGGAATTGGATGCTGCTTCTGGGTCCATTGGGTCAGAATTAAGTTGAGCTGTACTCCTGCCCCACCCCCACCCGCCAGCTTTGAAGAATTATTTGGGGCTGTGGGGAACTCCCTTGGAGCCCTCTCCCCCAACACATACAGGTTGGAGTTGGGTGTGTGACTCGTTTGAGGGGTGATTTAGCTGCCAGCCCAGGGCTTAGCATGAAGAAGGCCTTGGACACATATTTGATGAATGAATAAGTGGTGGGATGAAGGTGCATGGGTGACGGTGGGGGACTGGAGGGTGGGGGGTGGGGCCCGGATCTGAAAGGCCCCTGCGGGCTTTCTGTGAAGATGCTCAGAAGGTTCTCTTGTTGGTGATGGAAAGCTACTGAGGGACAGGATCAGATTTGGTAGAATGACCCCCGTGACAAAGTAGATGGGGCTCTGAGGTGTAAGACGGGAGCAGGGTCACCGTCTGCTTTCCATGTCGTCACCACCCTGCAGCAAGCCTTGAGCTAGATGCTGAGTGGATGGAGCTGGGCAGACCATGGGGCAGGGGCCTGGGAGGCTTGAGGAGAGCTGGACACGGGGCTGAGTGGGCTGGTCAGCTAGAGGAGGTGCCGGTGGCAGAGACACCCCCGGGTGTTCTCCAAGCCTGGCCCTTGTGGGTGTGGGACTTCTTCTCCACCGGCAAGACCCTTACCAGTCCAGATCTGAGTCCACGGGTCAGAAGCAGCATCTGGAGTCACTCCCAGTATGGAGACAAGAAAGCTCCCTCTCAATTCCGGAGCTTGACATCCAGGGACCCTTTGAGTTGCCAGATCAGCAGCTCTGAACTGTAACACCTGCCTCCTCCCACAGAAACTTCTGGAAAGCAGCCTCAGAGTGGCTGGGTTCTATGGAAGGAGAGCCAGAGGCTCAGCTGGGCAAGACTGGCAGTGGTAGAAAGCAGGGATGGACTCTGAGAATCTGAGAAAAGCAAAGCCTGAAAGAAGAGGATGCTGTTTGAACCCCAGCTCTGCCTAGTGACCATGACCTGGTCACCACCCCCATCCTGCCCAAATCTGGAGAGCTTAGAGGACAGTAGTCCAAGGCATGACAGCAAGAAACTCTGCAGCCCCTTTCCTCCCCTGATGAGGACTTGAGGTGTGGGGCTTTCTAGCCTGCTTTGGAAGAGGCAGGTGGGTGGAAGGTTTGTTTGGAAAAGGACGGGTATCTGAAGCACATAGTGGGCTTCGGGGCAAACATGTCCCATGAGCGAGGAGGGGGCAGCTGGTGTGTGAAGGAGGCAGGGGCTGAGGCCAAGCCTCCATTCCTTCTTCCCCATTATTTCTTCCCTCCTGACATTCTCCACCCTCTGTGATCATCCTCACCAGGGTCTGTGGGCACAACCCTAACGTAGCTCCCGCTTCCCCACCCCAGCCTCAACTCCAGCTCCTTACTCCTTTCCAAACACCTCCCTCCCTCTCTGCCTGCACCTGTTCGCTCATCCCACGTTCCCTCCCGCGCATCTTTCCCCATCTGCTTCGGAATGCCCACCCGCTTCCAGCTCCAGTCCTCTCCTGGCTGGCAGCCCTTCCCCTGCTGAAGCCCCTCTTCCCTGTTCAGCTAAAGCCTAGAGCCATGTCTCCCTTCCTCACTCAGGAAACACTCTGTTTCACCTTGAATCTTATTATCTGTGCATGTGATAGGAGCCAAGGTCCTGGTTCGAATCCCTGCTCTTGAGAGCGACGTAAATGTGGGCGCAGTCCTTAACCTCTTGAAACCTTCTTGCCTCATTCCTGAATTAAGACACGTGCCTTTGAGGCAGGCCATCCCTCTATGCCAGCGAGCCTGTGACGGCCTTAAGGTGTGCCCATCAACCTCGGCCACTGGCGAGGGTGCCCCCTTTCACTTCCAGAAGCGTCTCAGTCTGTATGATATGGTACATGCGTGCCCAATGCCAGGTACTAGGTGAGACAGTCCACGAGAGCTTCTTAGCAGAGCCCGGAGCCCGGGGGGTGCTCATGAAACAGTCCCTGCCTCTCCCCTGCCCCAGCACTGAGCTCCTTGAAGGGGACTATGGCTGATTTCTGATTCGGCTACAATTCCCAGAGGAGAATGGCCAGTTATCCAAGAATTGAGAGTACAATCCCATCTAATAAGTGCTGAAATGATGGAGGGTGACTCTGTCTCTCTTTCATAACTCAAAAGCTTGTCAGCAAGGTCTTTACTCACCTCCTTTTGTCCCTGAGCTGTGGCCTGGGAGCAGAGGAGAGCCGTGTGTCCCATGCGCCTACCGTGTACAGAGCTTGCTGTTCCTGCCACGGAGTCCTCCCCCGCACTCGGGCGGTGGTGGATGCTGAAGGCCTGTGGCCCTTATGGAGCCGTTCTGTTTCAGGACCCTAAGGAGCGGGGGCCGGAGTGCTGAGGAAGGAAATGGTGAGGCCTGGGAGGGAACCCGAGCTGTAAAATGCGGCCAGTGACATGGACGCAGTCGAATCCATCCTTTGGAAAGACCACATTGGCTCTGGGTATTGGAGGGGGCGGGGAGGAGGGATGTGAGACCAGCCTGGAGAGGAGAGGACTGCAGTGCTCCCCTGGGGGGCGGAGGTGAGGAGGGGGAGGGCCAGAGAACTCCCATCCAAAGATGTAGCGTGGTGGTCCTCACAGGGCCGAGCACGATGCCTGGCACACATTTGTTATTACCGTAGATTAGTAATAGCATCATTCGTTAGGAAAATCGTGATAAGACTAATACTAGCAGCCATGTGCTGAGCACCCTGGTGTGCGATGTAAAGCATTTTATCCACATTTTTTCCCTTTAGTCCTCAGACCCTATCAGGTAGGTGCTCAGACCAGCCCCATCTCACAAAGGAGGAAATGGAGGCCCCGAGAATTTAGAAGTTTTGTCCAAGGTCACACCCAACTGAAAAGTGACAGATCCAGGATTTGGAGGCCCAACTGTCCAACTCCAGAGCATTTGCTGTCATTAAGCCTCCACACCCACTGCGTTGGAGGAACATCACCATCCTGGGCACGGAGGGGAGACCCAGCCGGAGAAGCCCACGTTGGCTGGCCCAGGAGGGGCACAGGAGGACCGCGTACAGAGTGAGAAGAGCTCTCTGGCTCTGGCCCCCGCAGCTGCCTCCCACAGGACATGAACCACAGCTGACCTGGGAGGCTGAGGGCTCTGGTTCCAGGGTTGGGTTACCTGGTGCGTCGAGGATCATCTCTCTTCCTTCCAGTTCCGTGCAACGCCGCCATCCAGCTGCCTCCAGAGACCACCATCTCTCTTCTAATTGGTGGAAAATTGGTTGCTAACTGTCAGGAAATCGCTGATTTTCCATCCATTACTGGAGGGACCAGGACCGTGTAGCTGTGGGGGCCTCTGGGTGGGAAGCAGATGCTGATTAGGCTTTGCAGTTAACCATTAGGTTCGGGACCTCCTCAGGCAGTCCTCCCAGACTGCTTATTAACTCCCTGCGAAGACCCACTGGGTAGGAGATACTGGTGAAACAGAAAGCCCAAGCCACAAAAGCGTTACTATTCATTAGGCTTTGGTTGTGGGGAGGGAGGAGACCGGGAGAAAAAAAAAAGGTGGCCTCGATCCAGGAATGTTAAACAGCCCCATAAGTTGGCAGAGAACTTTATAATTGCTGCTACTAAAATATATGTATTTATATAGGTGATTTGTTGAAGGAAAGAATTTCGGCATTCGGGGCAATCCCTACTATGATCTCACCCAGGATTAAGTTGTTAGGGACTAGATATTAATTAAGGCTAAGGGCCCCAATCCCTTCCTAATTAGCTCATGGAGTATAATTTGCCTGCAAATGCTACTGTTACAATCACCTTGAATTTGTCTGGAGATTTCCTCCAGCTGGATTGGGTGAGCTCTACCCCATTATGGGAGCAGAGAGGAGAGGAGGGGCAGGAGGCCTGGGTTCCTCTCGCATCCTGCCCCTGACTCTTGAGGAAGGGGCTTCTTTCTCCAGTTTTCCTACCAGCAGCAAAGGGGTATTAAGGGAAGGAGGGAGCACGTGTCTGGAAAGCCCTTCTCAGCTGAGATGTTCTAAGACCCAGTTAGTACAGAGTCAATGCTGGCCTGTGCCTGGGAATATATTGGTGCCCAGACTCTTCCGGGTTCTTCACAAACTGAGAAATCCAAAGGCCTTCCCTTAAGGGGAGTCAGGGAGTTTGTTTTCCTATGGGTCCCAAACTTTAATTGTCAGCAGGACTTTTTTCCCTCAAGATCAGGAAATAAGGGCATCTGTCAGGCTTGGTGACATGGAGACCTGCCAGCAGTTCTCACCCAGGTGGACCCCTCTGTCCCCCGACCAGCTCATCTCCCTTCCCATGTTTGTGCTTTCCCTGCCCTAGAAATTCTCCCCTTTTGCTCACTGCCTTCTCTATCAGGCAAATTCCTATCCATCCCTTAGCACCTAACTTAAAGACCCTTGTTTTTTTTTTTGTTGTTGTTGTTGTTGTTTTTTTAAGATTTTATTTATTTGACAGAGAGAGATCACAAGCAGGCAGAGAGGAGGCAGAGAGAGAGGGGGAAGCAGGCTCCCTGCCGAGCAGAGAGCCCGATGCGGGGCTCGATCCCAGGACCCTGAGATCATGACCTGAGCCGAAGGCAGAGGCTTAACCCACTGAGCCACCCAGGCGCCCCGACCCTTGTTTTTTTTAAGCCTATCCTGATTGTCCCAGGCAAAGCTAGCTAGGCCCTCCCCTTGACTTTTGCTGTTCTGGAATCCTCTAGTCAAGGCTTCAGCAAACCTGCCTTGTGAGATGATGGTTTATGCCTCAGCCTCACTATCAGACTGTACACTTGCAGGTAGGACCACACCACGTCTGATTCAGCTTGGAATCTGCAGAGCTCATCCCAGAATAGGTACCAAAGTTGTCTGGGCTTGCTTTAGGTTTTTGGGTTGTGCATTGTCTTTGAGAAAGGAGTCCCACAGTTTGCCTCTGGTGTGCATAGGAAAATGGGCTTTGAGGGCAAGTGGCACCGTGGTCCTTGGATGGTCTCTGAGCTGCGGGGTCTGGATCCTGTTTTCTCAGCCCTAGCAAAGCACTTAAGAAGGGTCCTGCTCAGGGCTTCTGGGCTTGAGGAGGATGGTTGAGAAGGCAAGACCTATACCTTCCTCTGCTTCCTCCTGAGATTCCTGATAGGCCTGAGCGAGCAGATGGAGTTCAGGGGAAGAAGTCAGGCTCTGTTGCACTGAATTCCATCGGCTGCCAGGGACCCCACAAAAGAGAGAGACAGGCCATTCAAATCCAGGCCCCCCGCAGAGGAGTCTGCCTGCAGCTCCCTGGGCTGGGGGCTGGGGGTGGAGAGCCAGAGAGGTGCTGCTGACTGGGAATATAAACAGATTCAAGGAGGGCTTACCCACATTCCTGGATGACAGATCCCTAGCAGGTAACAGGTCATTAATAACCATGAAGGAGGATAATAATAATTAATAATAATACCTCCAAGAGGGCTTTTATACTTTTAAAAGCTTTTTTTTTTTTTTTCTTGCCACTATCTCATTGGATCTTTGCCATCCGCTTGGGGGAGGGTGCAGATGCTCCGAAAAGTGAAAGGACTGACCTGAGGCCACACAGCTCACTGAGAGCAGAACTGGCATCAGATTCGAGGGGCTATCCCGACTCCCTCTCCAGGACTTCTCAGAGGGTGAGGGTGGAGTACACTCGTCAGTGGCCCGATCATCACGCAGCTTCTGTAAGCGGCTCACTCCAAGGTGCGCTCCGTGTCCTCACCTGCCTGTCTGCCATCTGCCACATGACACCAAACGCCGATCTTCGACTCCCTTCAATCTGTGCAAGGGGGTGGAGGTTGAATATTCCAGGCAGGCAACCCCTTGGATCCGCCGTCTTCCCTCTACAGTAGGGCGGTAGGAATTCCTACTGCAGCAGTAACTGGCAGTGCCCTGCCCGGCACGTAATGAGCCCTGGACACGTAGGAGTTCGGGGCAATGCCCGGGGAGAGCAGCCCCAGAGCTGAGCCACTCCAGGCTGACACGGAACAGGCAGAGGGGGCAATTTGTGGCCCTCCGGCTGGCCGGCCGCTGTCCTCCCAGCCAGGGTTCTGTGGACCCTCGTGGACTTCTGGGGAACCTTCCCCCAGTTCCATGCCCTCTGCAACAGTGCTCTAGAAAGTTATTGGTGATCTGTGGTGTCCAGTTAGATCGTGAGGAGGCTATTTTACAAGTTAAGTGAGGTTTTGGAAATTCCGAGAATTCACCAGAGGTGCTCACTTCTCAGTGTGCAAGGATATTTGTTCCGAAGCTGTTTCCTCTTGTTTTGTCCTTGTTTTGCACTACTCTGAACTTCGGAGCACTTGTTCTCTAGTGAAATCACGGTCCTCCTTGGGGACTGAGGGGGACCAGTGCTGCCATCTATAGGCAGAAAAGTGCTCGGTCTCGTTTTAAAAGAAACTTGGTGAACCAGCAGAGGAGAGAAATAGTTGTCCATCCCAACCGCCTTCCTCATCTTATTACCCTCCTATTTTAGAACCGCAGTAGTTTTCAGATGTCCCACCTTCGGAGAAATTTCTGGCTTCACAGCAGGATGAGTACTGTGCCATTTTCTTTCACGGTCAGTGCTGGAGCCCCGTGACCGGCACTGTGCTTTGTAGAGAGTACAAAATGATTAGGTCTCTGTTCTCTGACTGCTCATTTTATATTGTAGAATTGCTTCGGTATTAGGTCAAGGTCTGTGAAGGACCTGTGTGATCCGATTGAGATGGGATGACCCAAAGGAAAGTACCAGAAATCAGCCAAATGGGAATTTCTGTTCTTGTAGAGCAGTGGGCTTAGAGGAGCTTCCTTCAGATACAACTTGGTCCAGTTCCCAGAGAGCAAAGGGGGCATGTTCCGGGGCCAGAGATGCAATCTGGCTAGTGTGGGAGCAAGGAAGAGAGATGGGAGTCCCTGCACTCCGGGTCTTGGTGGAGTTGTGATCTACTGCCAGCTTTCCATGGCCACAGATATTGTGAACAGTAAGTGAACTTGCACTGGACAACCTGGGGGTACAGAGCAAACATAGACTGAGAAAAAGCAAGCATGGATAAACGATTCTTAAGGCAACATACGCTAGAGCATCACAAGGAATTTTCCTTGTGTATCGAAGGAGGAATTGGGAGCTCAGAATGGGGAAGTGCTGTGCCCAAGGTCCCCCAGCAAGCAGAGGGCAGAACTAGACTAGAACCCAGGCTTCCCAGCTCCTCACCACAGGCTCACTTGGAAGGCTTTCATGGGAGGTGACCTCCTACAACAGGACCTCGCTCTCCGTCCAAACCCCCTTTCCCTCAGGGCTACGGAGATGAAGCTTAATCTTTAATGAACTGGCTTGCAGTTTAACTTCCCCTTTGGCAATGATTAATACCTGGTGACCTAGTCTGGCCTCAGGTGATCCTGACCAGGAGAGTGCTGGTAGCCTCCAGGTCCAGATATGGGCTGCTGTGCAGCTGGATGAGGTTCGAAGGGTGCTGGGATGGCTTCCTCCCTGGAAGACTCTCTTGTGTCCCGTGCCTGGAATTCTGTCATTAGATGTCACCCCTTGAAAATAGGATGGCACTAATGCCCTCCCGCGTTGGGGAGGGCGGCTAGGAAAACAAATCGTGTTTCAAATAATCGTTGGACTATTGATTTGACTGTCCTGATGCCCAGCAGCTCAGAGGGATTACAGGATTCACGATTTTTAGTCAAAACTAGTGGGATGTCACCGGATTCCCAGCAAAACCAGACAATAAACTTCTTAGGGACAGAGATAGGGTCTGGAGAGCAGAGACACATGGGGGAGAGCTCCGAGATTTGGAGCTTGAAGGACCTCAGTGCCAAGTCTAGCTCCGACAGTCACTAGTTGTGAGAGCTGGGGTAGGCCCGTGGGCCTCAGTTTTTTTGTCCGATGAGCGGATAGAGAAACTCCTCCCTCTAGGCTCCTTAGAGGATGAAAGAGGGAGTGCATGGAAAGTACTTGATTTGGAGGAAGCATACACCAGGTAGTGCTGATGCCCCACTTTCTCCCTGCTGGGACTCGCCTCAGCTGCCCTCTGTAGGGAGGTAGAGAGGACTCCAGGCTTATCCGCGGAGGAGGACTTTTCTTGGGTGTTCTGGGATGCTTACAAGAACTGGCTGTCTCCCTCTGAGACTGGAGCGTTAGCCAGGCATCAGGGCTCCATCTTTTCCTTCCCCTGGAGGCAGGGCTGGGGTCACCTGCCTCCTCTCCCTGGGTCTGCCTGCCTCTCCTGAGACCGTAAATTTTGTGAGCCGAGAAAGTGCCTCGGTCCCTGTCCATCGGACTCTCTTGTCTCTGTTTTCTTTTTCTGTTTTCATCTTAGCACCCATTGGAACCAGTGTGGGGGTCAGCAGCAGCTTCCCACAGCGCTGCCTACTGGGTGCTTTCGAATGTTGGCGTCCCCGGCTGGATACGGGCACTTTGTACACCCATCACCTGCCCAGCCTCTAGGGCCTTCTCCCCCACTCATCATGAGAAGTCTCATTGTGACCGGAGGAGTTCGCTAAATGGAACAGGGTCATCCCCTCCCTCACTGCTCCAGCCATGCGGGGCTGCCTTCAATTGCCTAAAGATGCCCTCCTCTTTCCTGTCTTGGTGTCTTCTCCCTGGGGTACCCCTCAGCTCCCGTATTGCTTCTCTGATCCTTTAACTACAGGCCCCTCGGCCAGTGGCTTCCCTCTACTGGCTTTCATGCTCTGCTGGGGGCCTAGTTGCCCTCCTGACTCCCACAGACAGAACTCCTGAGAGGAGTTACCCAAGTCCTGCCCTGGGGCTCAGTGGCTGGCGCCATTTTCCTGACATCCCTGAGATGGAGTCTGTGTGAACCAAGGAAAGGGGCTCCCGTGACCTCATCAGGAAGGCTGGATCGCGAGACCTGGCCTGGGGGCAGGCAGCCTGAAGCAGGGAACCATGGAGCCCCCAGCGGAAGCCATGGCTCCTTCTCTGTTTTGGTTTTGCTTTTGTGGGCTTTTCATTTCAGAAGTTAATCTAGTTAACACCAACAATGTCATTTCGTCAAGCCAGCAATTTCCTTTTGCCCTTTATTTAATGA